TTTAGTTGATATCTTATGCAAGAATGAGATTCAGAACTTAAATAACTGAGAACCATGCATACTGACTGCCACTAAAAACAATGCAGAAGACCCTGTAAATTCCTTTTAGGACACATGGCACTACTTACATAAAAACCACCTGAACTGCTTCTCCATAGTTTTGAGCTTGCATTTTAACAAATTATAAAAATACCGTGTCGTGCTTGCAAACCTGACAACCAAGCCCACTAGTTGAAAAGGGTGTAAAGGTGATATTGGAGGATTTTTTCCCCTCCCAAATGTTTGTTCCTTTTCCATTACCAGCTGAAGAACTAAATTTGTCTTATTTTAAGCTTAAAAGACCCAAAGCCTATGGAAGAAAAGGTCATGCATTACCATTCAGCAAGAGCTGGAGGCTAATTGTAAAGTTTATTAACAGTGAAAACAACGGGGTTCTCAGCCACTTACTACCATGGAGGAAACGGATGGTATTTTTCTGAAGTTTGGATTCCATTGTATTTTGTTCTACAATATGCAATTTAACTGTCCCATCTCTGAAAATGGGAGGAGAGAAAAGACTTATTTTTCTGAAGCTGCTCACGCTAAAATAGGAGTCACTTCAAGATCTCCCCTAGGGATTCAAGTCTATATATTTAGCACTAGAAGAAGGAAAACAGAGAGTAACTGCCAGCTTGAGGAGAGAGATGCTGAAGCATGCTTCGTCTCTAGTGTTTCCCACATCACAGATACAGTCAATGAAACTCGGTGTGATTCTAAAAACGCTTCTTTGCTCGACAGGCTTTACGCAGATACGCAGCTGATACAGCTGCTCACAGGGGTAAGAGCTAGCAGTGTTAGAATCCAGAGATCAAGCTTATTCTAGAGTCATGCTGATCCTGTCTTCTGACCAAGGTATTCTTGTTTCAGTAACCATTTTTCCTTAACAAAATGGTGACAGTTTTTAGCAATTTTATAGCGAATATTTAATAGTAAATTAAATATACATATACTTATTGTTTAAATATATAAATAAACTAACAGATAACAATAGAAGATAAACCCACGGAATAATACCGGCTCAAACAATACAACACTATTGGTTTTAGGAAAATAAATAAATATAGTCTGTATGGATGATACATGTGAAAGCCCATCTATAGAGACTCAAACATCACAGAAATGAATTATCTTTGAGCAACACAAGATATTATCACTATAGTGAGGAACCTGGGGTGAGGGGTAGCAGGGGGTGGGGGAAGTTGATTGCTTTATCAGTTTTTCAGTTAACATATTGTCTTGTGTGTGCTTGTTTCAATTTTACATTTAAAATGTTCTTTTAATAACTATTATTCCATTCACTATCTCACTGATGGACATTCTCCTCTGCTAATGTACAGGAATAGCTGAAAATAGTAGAAAAACTCTACATTGATGGACATATTCTTCCATTAGGGCATTTGCTCATTGATGTTATAGTTTTGGACCAATAGTTCAGCACTGTGAAGAGGGAGCTAACAGTGTAGCCCTTAGTTTTCCTCATGATGTCAGAAACAATGTCTCACAAAAATGCCACTGGTAATCAGTGAACTTTGAAAATTAATGCTAAAATCTTCATACCCATAAGACTATGTAAATCTTAAACTTCGCCATGATTACTTAAACTATCAGTTCACAATCACCTCTCATGCAGCTTTACCACAAGCTCTCACTGACTCAGAGTGCAAGCATGCCCCTCCAGGTCCCGTACACTATGATCTGAATCCCAATCAGTTACGTCTATTACATGAAATACTACACACATGAATATATTTCAGGACTGACAGCTCAGCTATCAATGGAAGCTTGAGGACTTCATCCATGTAGATGTTTGGTTAAAAGAAATTTGACCGAGAGACAAGAAAATTCTAAGGAACAGTAATGTTCATACAAGCTTGTAAACTTCAGCTTTGTGTTTTTCTTTGAAAATATAAAATTACTATTTAGTATCTTTGAGCTACAGTAATATCTCCTGAAAATTGCCCTTGCTCACAGCCTAACAAACCTGCATTGCAACAGAAAAGACAAAAAAATCTAACACTACTACACAGATTTTGCTTATCAATCAGGAATGTGGATTCAATGAGACAGAATAACAGGAGAAAAATGATCTCTGCATTTTATAATGTTCAACAGGTATTACGTGCACTTTATTTAGCGACAAGAAAGAAATCTACTTTCCAACCATCCTAAGTATTTGTCCAGTGACATTTCATTCAACTAAATGTCCAGTATTTCTTTCCTGAACCCTACTTCGCATATTTATTCTTATTGTCATAAGAAATATTTGTCACACTTTCACAATTTACTATCAAGTACAACTGGTTTATGTACTTGTGCTGACATGGAGGACTGTACAGCACAATACATGCATGCTGTTGCCAAGTCCTTTGCCTCAAATTTCCCACACTTTTAGCCTTTGCTGTTCCAAACAGAAAGTTAGTTGAATTTTTGGCACTACCCAAACAATGTGAATTTGGCTACGGCTGTTCTGGGGCAAATCTCAGGTCCATTTAGCTCAGGACCATGGCACTGACAGTGGTCAAAGGCAGTGGCCTAGGGTAAAGTCCCATATTTCAGGACATCTCTTGATTAGAGTAATACCCTGGAACACTCTCCTGGCTCCCAGCAATCTGTGGCTCAGAGACTCAAATATGAAAAGAGACTGGGAGTGCTGGCATCTGACAACACACTTTGTTTCAGAAGGGCTGGGAGGAAGAACAGGAGATGGCATATTTCAAAAGGGAGAAATATGTGCCCTCATCACACACACACGCTACTTCACTCCACATAACAGTGCTCCTTGCTCCCAATATTGCCTTTGCCCTCAAAATGTGCCTTTTTCCATATGGAAGAGGTGGCAAAAATGAAAGTGTTTCCCTTCTTTCCTCATAAACCCTCCTTCTGACTGGAGGTGGCCTCCTGTTCATATTCCACTTGACTAAACCAATCTTTTCCTCCTCCCACACTAGCTCCATCTGCCGCCCGTCTCTCCAGCAGAGCCAGATGCCAGCAAAGCAGACTACTGTGGGAGGAGAAAGTTCTGTCGCTGGAATTTCTTCCCCATACCCTGCAGGGGGCCAGCCTGCGGAGCCTGGAGAGGAGACAGAGCAACTTCCTCTCTTCCACGCTGCTTTCCCCCGCTCATCACTAAAGGCGGCAGGTGAGGACATGAGCAAAAGGACGATAAAACTTCAATGCGCGCTCTGAAATGTGCGACTTCAATACTTATACGGCAAAAGTCTCACAACTGTACTCCCCGCCCAAGCGTGGTACACAGCTCAAACATGTAAGAAGACAGGAGTCCTGCCCCAAAGAGCTTACAATCAGACAGAAGCAGAGATGCACATTTGTGATAAGGAATGAACAAGAGTGACTAGAGTGTAGATGACATTAAAAAATGTGAGAACCTATAATCAGGAGAGATCTTAATGATGGAGTAAAAAGACTAACACCTTCTAGAGAGATGCAAGTCAGAGAGAGAAGCTACGGCCATGCGTTGTTGAGAGAGGATTGCATGTGGCAAGGGAAACTGCCTGTATAGGAGGAAAGACTAGAATGAAAGCAGACATGGGGAAAGAAAAAGTGATTTTTTTTTTTTATATGTTTGAGGCGATCTTGCATGAGGCAGAGGGACAAGAAGTACAGGTAAGAACTTAGACAACAAGGGAGCCAGTCTAGGGACAGAGGAGCATCTGTGGGAGCAATCATGCCAGAGATGGTAGCAAGAGTGTCACTGAGAACAAGAGCTCATATAAAACAAGCAAGTGTGCCTATGTGCGAGACAGAGGGAAAGTGACAGACTTCATTTCTCTCAGAGAAAGAATTGTGGGAACCCAGGAGACGAAAGAGACTTAGAAACAAGAATGAGTGAGAGTGGTGTATGGGTGCAGCAGAAAGTTTGGAGTGAGGATGGCAGTACAGAAGAAAGTGAAGGAACACAGGGATCTAACAGAAAACTGGAATTATGTATTAGAAGTTGAAAGAGCATATGTAAACTAGAGAGACACACAACAAGAAAGATTAAGTTGAATAGACAGGGAAAGGAAAGGGGAAATGCACAGATCACATTGAAACAGATTAAGAAAAAGGCTCACAGCAGAATGAATGGAGTGACAGGAAGGGGGGAAAGGAGGAAAGAATACATGCAAAGATGGTAAGGGAACATTATTTAATAAAAAGCACTAGGCAAAAACCCCAAATGAGAAAACTGGGAGTGTATAGAAGAGTGACTGGAAATGGATGTCCACTGAATTATGTCACTGTGAACTCTTAGGGTTTGACCCTCCTATGTATTCCCACGTTTTAATCTTTTTCACTTGGAAAAATTCTGTTTCCTGGTCCTCCACATCCTCTTAACTTTTGTGCTGTAGTTGCACCTTTATGGCCTTTGTTTCACTATTTCTAGTGGCAACTCTTTTTGTTACGTTTAAATGGGAAAAAAGATCTTATTTTGTCAAATACTCTACCACAAAGAAACGTGCCAAAATCTCAAGTTTCCTTCCTCCTGTCCCCATAATGCTCTTTCATTCATTCTTCTTTCAAATAAAAAATAAAACGGGCTGGGGAAACCCAGCAATACAGCAGTATCTTAAACCCAGGATATTCACAGAGTCTTCCCTGAGCTGCGTGTACATTCTACGCCCCAGGTTTCCTCCGTGCCCGGGCCGAGGGCTTCCCGTCTTCCGTGGGCGAGGGCAGCGGGGAGGCACGGGCTGCGCTCCAGCGCTCAGCACCGCGCTTCGGGCTGCCGCCGGTAACGGGATCTCCGGCCGAAAGGCATCCGTCAGGCGGGGGAACACGGGGAGGGGAGCTAGCTACCGGCTGCTGGAAAGAAAGCCGACACAGACGAATGCTCTGGCTGCTGGAAGACATGGCTGGCTATTTTATTTTATTTAGGGGATATTAAAAAAAAAAGAGGGGGGGGAAGGGAGAAAGGGAGAGGGGGAAGCTCACACGCTCGTACACGCATACGCTTATCTTACCTCCACATTGAAATACTGCTCCGCTTTGCACACTGTAGCACATAAAATCCAAACGAAGGTTTGCAAGAAAAACACCCTCGACCGAGACACGAAATCCAACCGGCTTCCAGTGCTGAATGCGAGTACGATCATAGTGAACTGTGCTTCAGTGGATGGAAGATCTCTCTTTCTCTTTCTTTGCCTTAAACAAATACACAAACAAACCAACCCTCCCCCGTGTCAGTGAAGAGCCCGCAGCGCAGGTTCACCCACAGCAGGGGAGGATGAGGAGGAGGAGGAGCAGCAGACACTTCACAGCAGAGGCGGCGGCAGCGGCAGGGTCAGCTCTCGCTCATCCTCACCACCAGTCCCG